AAGTGCACCGCCATGAGCCTACCATGTTGGGCAGTTGGGCAGATTGTATGTACTGGCACTTGACTGAAGGAAGGAATAGGAGCTGAAATCCAGCCAGTAGCATACTTACCAAACTAAGTACCCTTTTGCTCCATTAGTCTAGAAGGGTTACCTTTTTCTAATCCATAAATAGGTACTATATGAGCAGGCAATGACCCTGATCACTGCTTGCTATCCCCTGGGTTTTAGCTTAACCTCTTCATCCCCACCTCTCCCAAAAGCCGATTATATATAGATTTTGAGAAATATGTTTCTCTAATCTTGGGGACAACCTCCCTCTTCTTTAGCTTCTATCTTTAAAAATACTAACTTTTGAGGGGCGCCTGGGTGGCTCGGTTGAGCGTCCGACTTTGGCTCAGGTCATGATCTCACAGTTCGTGAGTTCAAGCCCCATGTCGGGCTCTGTGCTGACAGCTCAGAGCCTGGAGCCTGCTTCCAATTCTGTGTCTCCCTCTCTCTCTGCCCCTCCCCTGCTCATGCTCTGTCTCTCTCTCTGTCTCAAAAATAAATAAAACATTTAAAAAAATACTAACTTTTGAAACTGCTTCTTCTGGACACCTTACATAATTGGTTCTGTTTGCTTAGATTTGCACAAAAGACAGAAAAAAAGGATGTCTTCAAGAGGCTTCTGCTGTAGACCCTGCAAATGTTCTGGAACTATATGACTGCTCTTTTGAAATTGGAGGGGTTTGGGGTGAGAGGTAAAAAATAGAGATTTAATTCATATCTCACTAAAAAGTGAAATATTAAGCTTAATTTTTAATAAATTTTTAATTTTGAAATATTTTTATAATGCCCACTGTATAACATTTACAGGATATCCTTAGAAGGAAGTCACAAATAAAATCTATGGTAATTAAATGGAAATTGATGACTTACTACTTTCTTGCCAGCATAATAGAAATTAGAGATCTGTAAGTTTAAAATTGTGCACTAAAGACTTCAAAATTGCTTTGTTTGTATCTTTCATTAAAAATTTATTTTGGGGGGCACCCGGGTGGCTCAGTCCGTGAAGTGCCCAACTCTTGATTTTGGCACAGTTCATGATCTCATTATTCGTGAGTTCAAGCCCTGCACTGGGCTCCTCGCTGACAGTGCGGAGCCTACTTTAGATTCATTCTCTCTGCCTCTCTCTTTCTCTCTCTCTCTCTGCCGCTCCCACACACGCTTGCTCACACGTGCTTTCTCTTTCTCTCCCCCCTTCAAAATAAAATAAAACTTTAAAAATTATTTCATTTTTGTTTTATGTGCATTTTTGCTCTATTAATTAAATTAAGTGAATTTATATGTAAGGTAAGCTGTTAGTATTAAAGCAACAAAATAATTTAAATTCATAATAAATTTATGTGTTTAAATACAGTGAGCTGGGAACAAACTATATTTCTGTTCATTGAATTTAGAACTTGTAAAAGAACGAGAAAGGGCATTTCTATTTTGAGCAAGTATGTCTTTGTCAATTTGTTCAGCAACTTGAATAAAATGACACATTTAGAAGATAGAGAAAAATATACAAAATCATAAGAATTTTAGTGCCATACATAGGAAGATTTGAAGACTTTCTTTGTATGAAAATTGTTATGAAGTATCACCCTGTTTGATTTCTGCTTCCTAGATGTGGTCTTGAAAAAGAGTATGCTGGGGCGCCTGGGTGGTGCAGTCGGTTAAGCGTCCGACTTCAGCCAGGCCTGAATGACCGCTGGTCCTGGGTGAGAGTTCCCGCTGTCAGGCTCTGGCTGATGGCTCTGAGCCTGGAGCCTTGCTCGATTCTGTGTCTCCTCTCTGCCCCCCCTGCTCATTGCTGCCTCTACTGTCCCAAAAAAATAAATAAACTGAAAAAAAAAATTGAAAAAAAAAGTGGAAAAAAAAAATTAAAAAAAAAAAGAAAAAGAGGTATATTATTTTACTATTTTTTTATTTTACTATTATTCAAATATTTTTTTTACTATTATAATTATAATATAAAAATATTATTTTACTATTTCTAATCTATTTTACATATTTTTACTATGCAGTGTATATCTTTCATTTATAATAAAATGACTACTCTCCAAATATTAACCTTGGGAGAAACCTCATCTATAATTCAGCCATTGTCATTGTTTTGAATCTAGAAAAATTATCACATCGTGAGCAGAGTCAGTATAACAGGCAAAAGAAAGGCAACATCTTTAATTCAGGACAACCTTGGGTAAGGATGGGGGCAGGCAGATGTTTGTGGAATTAAAAGAATTTGATATAATTAGCCAAAATATTTGATTTTGAATACACAGGTGATCCTCACTGTGAACAAGACTTGGGAGAAGTAACATTTCTTTCCACAAGTAATTGAGTGAAATAAGACATTTTGGTACAATTTTTTCAAAGTTATAATTTATTGAATGTACATTTAGTAAATTAGTAATAGTTATAAAGTGAATTACCTCATATTTGGGTAAATGATAGATTTTACATACAAACTTTTCTTGATTAATTTTATTATCTAAAACATATATATAGTATATATATACATAATAATTTTTTTCAGGAAAGCACTTTTTTTTTTTTTTTTTTAATTTTTTTCAACGCTTATTTATATTTTGGGACAGAGAGAGACAGAGCATGAACGCGGGGTGAGGGCAGAGAGAGAGAGAGACACAGAATCGAACAGCTCCAGGCTCTGAGCCATCACGCCAGAGCCTGACGAGTGGCTCAACTCCACGGACTGCGTGGAGATCGGATCCTGGCTGAAGTGGCGCTTAACCTGACTGCACCACCGCTTCTCCATGGTAAGCTATTTCTATGGAAGAATGAAAAATCTTTTTTACTTTTAAAAAATTACTTTGAACATATATTAAAAACTTGTATTTAAACGCTTAGGTATTAGTGCGTTAGGTGGCTCAGTTGGTTGAGTGTCCAACTCTTGATTTAGACTCAGGTCATGATCCCAGCATTGGGCTCTGTGTGAAATATGGAGCCTGCTTGAGACTTCTTCGTGCCCCTCTCTTCCTGTTCTACTCTCTTTCTAAATATCATGCTTGGTGGCGAATGGGTTAAGCTCCCGGACCAGCCAGGTCAATGATCTCGTGGTCCGTGAGTTCGGTTCCCGCCAGGCTTCCCAAGGCTGATGGCTGGAGCCTGGAGCCCATTCTGTGTCTCCTCCTCTCTGCCCTCCCCCGCTCATGCTAGTCTCTCTCTGTCCCAAAAATAAATAAACGTTGAAAAAAAAAAATTAAAAAAAAAATAAAATACATACATATGTGCATATATTATGTATACTGTTTAAGTAGAACTCATGCTTATTTTGACGAATAAGGGCATAGCCTTTAGGGTTTGACAGATCTTGATCTAAGCTCTAAATTTATCATAAGTCAGCTGTGTAACCTTAGGCAATTTGTTTAACTTCTTTGACCCTTAGTTCATTTTTAAAATGAAGGTGATATGTTGTAAAGTTCTTAAGATTAATTGTGGTAAGATTTATTAAGAGTTTATTTTAGAGTCGCCTGGGTGGCTCAGTGGGTTAAGTGTCCCAACTCTTGATTTCGGCTCAAGATGTGATCTCACAGTTTTGTGAGCTCAAGCCCCACATCGGGCTCTATGTGACCACACAGAGCCTGCTTGGGATTCTCTGTCTCCCTCTCTCTCTGCCTGCCCCGCCCCCCAACTCATGCTCCCTCTGTCCCTCTCAAAAAAAATAAAATAAAATAAAGAGTTTATTTTAACACCTGACTCATCTCATGCAATATCAAACATATTGGATATAGCTTTTTGTTTACATAAAAATAACACACATACATCTTTCCTCTTTTTGTCGGTTAAGACTTAAGATGCATCATTTTTGAAGATGAGAATCTTAATATTTTTGCATGATCACTGTGTCATTTCATTTATGGTTTAACTTCTAACAGGGTTCTTCCTTTTTTTAAAAAAACATGCCCAATTGAAATGTTTTTCAAGTCTAATGATCAGGTGATTGTCAGGCATTTGGAGGACAAGCTCATTTTTACCCTGCTTAGTTAATTATTGTGATTGTAAACAAAGGATGTACAATTCAAAGTCAAGCAACATTTCACATGGATGACCGAGGTGATAATAGCTTAATTCCTGCTGGATCTTTTTTCTTTACTCTGGAAAGTTCACACTGACCTTGTCCAAAATCTGATGACCTCCCTATTTTACTCAACTGTTTGGAAAGCCAGGCCTGCCATAGCTGGCCCTGAGGGGGTATCCTAAAGACCACTGAGTCACTGACCCATGTCAAGACTGGATTTAAAGTCTGATCTACAGGACCTCTGAAATAGTTATACATGGGGCTTATTGTACACAAAAACCCTAACTAGCTTCATTTTCTGCTTATAAAATACCTTAATGAAGTATATTTTAAGTGTTCTTAATAAAGTCATATATTTAATTTTACCAAGTTTTTTATTGCAGATCATTTTTTTAGACTCCTTGTAAATATTTTTTCTCAAAAGTAGTGTGTTACAACTAAACTTGAATGTTTTAAAATGTGAGCAAAACATGTTGTTAAATCATAGCTAAATGTAATGGATACTATCCTGGTTGATGAAGGGACCAATGCAGTTATGTTTTAATACTTTTAAAGATTTTGGTCTTTTGGGCAAAAATTCCACATACTTCATAAAAAATTTACTTTAAGCTGTAACAGCATGTTATTCTCTGTTTCTATTTTGTCAAACCTCAAATAATACTCAAATGTTGGTATTTAAGAGTTTTGAGTTACGAGAATTGTCCTAAAAGGAAGCACATGCCAACTGGTAAGGTGTTAATATTTAAATTTGGTTGGATGGGAACTGTCTACCTTAACAGTAACTTTGTGATAGATCTGTGATAGAGAAAGGAAAAAATTTCTTGTGTTTATTTTGTTGTTCTTCTGCACAAAAGGAAATGACTATGCCATTTTATGAATATCTAGTCAGCATTCTGCAGTTTATAATATGATGATGTCTTTTATTTTTATATAGGAGTTGATTCCTGAATTTTATTATCTTCCTGAGATGTTTGTCAACTTCAATAATTATAATCTTGGAGTGATGGATGATGGGACAGTAGTGTCTGATGTTGAACTTCCTCCTTGGGCCAAAACCTCAGAAGAATTTGTTCGCATAAACAGACTGGTAAGATAGTAATCATCTACTCTGTCATGAGCCTTTTCTCAAAGTATCTTTCATGTGTTGGTATTATCATTAACCCTTGCTCTTCTCAACAAAATTGTAGTTGATAGAGATAATTGAAAGTAACAAAATAGTTCATGAATCTCCATATATATTTTATTAAATTTTATTGACTTGAAAAGTATAGTGGTTTTTTTTGTCCTTTTATGTGAAATGTAGGTTACTAACCTTTATATGCACATGATAATTCAGAGTTATAAAGGAAATTTTTTCTAATGTTTATGTATTTTTAAGAGAGAAAGACACAGAGCATGAGAGGGGGAGGGGCAGAGAGAGAGAGGGAGACACAGAATCCAAAGCAGGCTCCAGGCTCTGAGCTGTCAGCACAGAACCCAGTGTGAGGCTTGAACCCACGAGCCATGAAATCATGACCAGGCGCCTCAGAATTATAAGGGGAATTATAAGTAAAACTGGAATTGTATGCTTCATGAAACATGAGTTTCTTGTGCTAGGTAAAGAACGTAATCCTGTGCTCTGGGATAGAAGGCCACTGCACATTTTGGTAATAGAAAAAAGATTTTCAAGTTATATGTATTATCTTTCTTTAAAAGGAAATCTTCATGTAATATTCAGAACATAAAAATTTAAAAACTTAAAAGCCCAGTATCATTATTTTCTTCAGACTCCTCTCTAGTGAACTCTTTAAAATCCTCTCATGGGTTCTAAATTATTTTACGAAAAAGTTCTGTCTGTCCGTTTTTGCTTTTAAGTTTCATAAAAGTTTGGAGTCTGGGACCTTTATTCTCAGTTTTTAAAAGTAGAATCTCTGTCATACTTCATATTAAAAGTGAAATCTAGGAGCACCTTACTGGCGTAGTTGGTAGAGCAACTCTTGATCTCAGGGTTGTGAGTTCAAGCCCTATGTTGGGCAGAGAGATTAGTTTAAAAAAAAAAAAGAAAGCTAAATTCCATCGTGTCTTTAATTTACACTTAAGGAAAATTATTGCATTTTAGTTTTCTAAGTGACATTTCTGACCTTTTATACTAACATTTATATATTTTTTTAAGCTTTGTTTATATTGAGAGAGACAGTGACAGTACAAATGGGGAAGGGGCAGAGAGAGGGAGAAAGAGAATCCCAAGCAGGCTCCATGCTGCCAGCGCAGAGCCCAATGCAGGGCGAAAACTCACGAAACCGTGAGACCATGACCTGAACCAAAACCAAGAGTCGGATGCTTAACCGACTGAGCCACTCGGGTGCCCCTCAACATTTATATTTTAATCCTGTCTTCCAGATCCTAATTGCAATCCCATTGTTACTGAAATTTCACGTTTTATGTATATTGGAAGCAATGCAGGGGAAATGGAAAGAACATAGTCCTTGGAGTTAGACCAACTTTCTAATCTTGAATAAATCCCTTTGCTAATTATGGGACTTTAGGCAGTTTAATCTTTCTGAGCTTTGGTTTCCTTATATGTAGTCTGAAAATTATGAATATAAAATTGTAATTATGTATGTAATATTCTTTGGCTTACAATAGGCACTTAGAAAGTAGTACCTAACATTATTCTATCATAGTCCTCAAGTACATGTTTTATTTTACTTTTACCCCATGCAATTTGGAGATTATAATTAAAATGAGAACCCAACACAAAGCTTAGTTGTAGCAAACATTGAAGGAGATGTCAGACTTTTAAATGTGACAGTTGTCTATGGCTGTGTGATTCCCTCCCACCCCTCAGAGACTATTGGAAGTCAATAGAAGGTATAGTTATACCACAAGTTCTTTTTTTTAATTTCAGTAATTGCCCTTTTGAAGTACATTTATTGAGGTATAATGTATATACCATAAAATTAATCTTTATTTTTTTTAACGTTTATTTATTTATTTACTTTTTCTTTTTTGAGAGAGAGAGTGTGCACCTGCAGGGGAGGGGCAGAGAAAAAGGGAGAGAGAGAGAATCCCAAGCAGACTCTGTGCTGTCAGCCGAGCCTGATGTGGGACTGGATCACATGACCCATGAGATCATGACCTGAGCCAAAATCAAGAGTTGGATACTTAACAGATTGAACCACCCAGGTGCCCCAAAATTTACTTTTAAAAGTGCACATTGCTTTGAGTTTTAGAAAATTTAGACAATTGTATAACCATCACCACAATGCAGCTTTGGAACACTTACATCACTTGTACTTGTTTGCAGTCAGTCCCTGCTCTGGGACTTTTTGTCTCTATAGAGACATTTTTTTCTAACTTTTTTAGAAATCTTATATAAATGAAATCATGTAATACGTGCCTGGCTTCTTTTATTTATCATGATATTTTTGAGATTCACCCATGTTGCATATGTATTACGGCATACTGTATTGCTGCATAATATTCTATTGTATAGATATAATACATTTTATTTATTTACCAGTGTATGGACATTTGGGTGTTTCCAGTTTGAGGCTATTATGAATATTTGCATATGTCTTAGGGTGAACATCTGGTTTCATTTCTCTGGGATAGATACCTAGGAGTTTCCTTGTTGGGTCACATGATAAGTTGCTAAGACTTGGTATTGTCAGTATTATTTATTTTAGCTGCTCTAGTAGGTATTTCGTTGTAATTTTAATTTGCATTTCCAAAATGACTAATTATGTTGACTGCCTTTTCACAGGCTTATTTTGTACTCATCTGTGTTTGTTTTTAAAAAAAATTTGTTTTTAATATTTATTTTTGAGAGAGAAAGAGAGAGCGCACACATGTGCAAGCGGGGAAGGTGCAGAGAGAGGGAGACAGAGGGTCTGAAGTAGGCTCCTCCTCACTGTGAACACAGAGCCCAATGCAGGGCTTGAATCCACAAACAACGAGATCTTGACCTGAGCTGAAATTAAGAGTTGGCTCCTTAACCGACTGAGCCACCCAGGTACTCCCTTAAGTGTTCTTTGGAACTATTCATATCTTTTGCCTATTTTTAAGTTGGGTTGTTTTTCTCATTATGTAATGTAAGCAATCTTTACATATTCTTTGTGAAAGTTCTTTATCCAACATATGTTTTGTGAATAATTTTCTCCTAGTCTTTTCATTTTTAAAAAAATGTTCATTTATTTGTTTTGAGAGAGAAAGAGAAAGAAAGAGAAAGAGAGAGAATCCCAAGTAGGGTACACACTCATCACAGAGCCTGATGCAGGACTCGATTCTGCAAACCATGAGATCATCACCTGAGCTGAAATCCAGATTCGGAAACTTAACTGACTAAGCCACCCAGGTGCCTCTGTCTTTTCATTTTTTAATTTTTCTTTTGAATCACCATTTTAAAAAAATGTTTCACTATTAGGTAGATATGAAATAACATTTATATAACATTTGAAAGGTATAAATAATCATTCTCATTCTTCAGGAATATATTTTAAAGAAAAAAACTAAAATCATGTTCAGATCATTTTATTATTGAAACACTTTCTTAAATATGATTTAAAATTTTAAGTCTCAAGGGAGCCAAATCTCGATTAATTACTACCATGTTTAGTACTATTAAGAGTATGAAGAGTTTGTTAGAGTGTTTACTTAAATCTGGTCCAAAGGAAAAAAAAATTTGAATAAGTTATATTAAAAGCTTTTCAACGGGGCGCCTGGGTGGCGCAGTCGGTTAAGCGTCCGACTTCAGCCAGGTCACGATCTCGCGGTCCGTGAGTTCGAGCCCCGCGTCGGGCTCTGGGCTGATGGCTCAGAGCCTGGAGCCTGTTTCCGATTCTGTGTCTCCCTCTCTCTCTGCCCCTCCCCCGTTCATGCTCTGTCTCTCTCTGTCCCAAAAATAAATAAACGTTGAAAAAAAAAAAAAAATTAAAAAAAAAAAAAAAAAAAAAAAAAAAAAAAGCTTTTCAACATTTTGACAATTAAGAGAATTTAATTGTGTAAATTGGGTAAGCCCCTCTCTTCATAGTACTTCCTATCTCTGCTCTCACAACCTTTACCTCAGAAGAGCCAGATCTTTCGGGATGGGCTTCCCAAGGGCACCATGGAAAAGAAGGTTAACAAATTGTTTTCAATAAGATTTAGGTTTTGCCTGCCGTTTTGTATGAAATTACATACAAAATAGTATTTTACAACTGCATGTTTATTATAACTTAGAATTAACTTTATTAAGCATTTGTGCCAGTGATTCCTCTGTGAGTTATACATGTCTTCATAGTTCAGGCTCTGAATGAGCTTGCATTCTTAAAAGAACTGTATAAAAATTTCATTGCAAATTAAATGCAAACATAGAGTCAAATATCAAATCTCTCATCTTTTACATTTGTAACTAGGAAAGATACTTGATTTTACTTACATGTATCTTTATGAAAGAATTCAATAACTCATTCATTCTTTCAGAAATATTTATTATACACCTGTGATGAGCAGAGCTCTCCTAAAGTGCAGTCTGTATTGATTCATTTTATAATTTCCTCTTCACTTTCTACAAGTGATTAAATTATTAGTATGGTATTTTATGTATCTGTTAGCATGTTATCAAGTAAGGATTTTATCCTCCTCCTCTTTTTGGTTGCCTCTTCAAGTCCACAGATTTTATGCAATGATTGTAGCTCATGAAATGCATACTACTTTGATCTGTGACCTTTTTGTGGTGCTAATCGGGTTCCTGATATCATTATACCTTACTCATTAATCATATTTCCTGCAGCCCATCAGGCAGCCAGACAGCACAAGTCCCTGTTTTCAGCCCTCTGTTGGCAGGTTTCTGCTTTTCCAGATTATTACAGACGATACTTTGGCTTCTCATAGCCAGAGCCACATCAAGCTGTGTGTTACAATTAAAGTCAGATGGTCCTCAGGTTGAACAGGGATATAGTGTTGCAGCTGTCTCTCTTCCTGGAACAAACCAGCACCAAGAACAGATGATCTATAGGACAGTGAATAATAACAGATTGTACAGTACTCGCTGGTAGCAGGGGATCACAGAATTCATTAACTGACATACTCGTTTTAAGATACCCAGCACGTCTTTTTAATGTATTT